AGTCAGTCTGTCTATAAAATGAAATCTCTCAAATCACAATATTTTCATATGTAGATGCCTTACGAATTTCATCCCATAGAAGTTTCACCCACTCCCTATCAAAAATTGGGGCCCTGTAAATCAAAACCCAAAATTAGTTTTTCACGGCCCTCGAGAACTGTAACCAGATTCAGTGGCGTTGTATCTAATTTTATATCTTGTCTAACATAACAATTTAAACTGTCTCTGACATACATCGCTACTCCCACCACCACCCTTTCCTGTTGCCCTTCATTGTGGAATTTTTATAGCCTTGTATGTGACATTCAATTGTGTTATGATATTTTAATACTATATCTTGTATCTGCCAAGCAATCATGACACCCAGTAGCCATACTAGTGTTGCTGAAAGTGGCACCCAGTAGCCATACTAGTGTTGCTGAAAATGGCACCAAGAGGTATAAGCACTTAATTTTAGAATTAAACAAAGACATTACATAAGTTTTATTAGGTTCAAGTAAGTTTGTAAAAAAAGCTAACCATTATTCCATGTTTAGTTTTAAGTATAATTACTATGTACTATTACCTTAACTAGTGTTAATTAGTTACTGTGTATTAGGATTAGTTTGCCCAAAATGCCTCTGCATGATAGTAGCTTTCTACTTAAATTATTTTTTATTTTTATTATCACACTGGCCGATTCCCACCAAGGCAGGGTGGCCCGAAAAAGAAAAACTTTCACCCCTCATTCACTCCATCACTGTCTTGCCAGAAGGGTGCTTTACACTACAGTTTTTAAACTGCAACATTAACACCCCTCCTTCAGAGTGCAGGCACTGTACTTCCCATCTCCAGGACTCAAGTCCGGCCTGCCGGTTTCCCTGAATCCCTTCATAAATGTTACTTTGCTCACACTCCAACAGCATGTTTAAGTAATAAAAACCATTTGTCTCCATTCACTCCTATCAAACACGCTCATGCATGCCTGCTGGGAAATCCAAGCCCCCCGCACACAAAACCTCCTTTACCCCCTCCTTCCAAAACCCTTTTTAGGCCGACCCCTACCCCGCCTTCCCCTTTCCCCAACAGACTGATACACTCTGAATTTATTCTGTTTCGCTCCATTCTCTCTACATGTCCGAACCACCTCAACAACCCTTCCTCAGCCCTCTGGAAAACAGTTTTGGTAATCCCGCACCTCCTCCTAACTTCCAAACTACGAATTCTCTGCATTATATTCACACCACACATTGCCCTCAACATGACATCTCACTGCCTCCCCGCCTTCTCCTCGCTGCAAAAATTCCATCACCCATGCTTCACACCCATATAAGAGCGTTGGTAAAACTATACTCTCATACATTCCCCTCTTTGCCTCCAAGGACAAAGTTCTTTGTCTCCACAGACTCCTAAGTGCACCACTCACTCTTTTTCCCCCATCAATTCTATGATTCACCTCATCTTTCATAGACCCATCCGCTGACACGTAAACTCCCAAATATCTGAATACGTTCACCTCCTCCATACTCTCTCCCTCCAATCTGATATCCAATCTTTCATCACCTAATCTTTTTGTTATCCTCATAACCTTACTCTTTCCTGTATTCACCTTTAATTTTCTTCTTTTGCACACCCTACCAAATTCATCCACCAATCTCTGCAACTTCTCTTCAGAATCTCCCAAGAGCACAGTGTCATCAGCAAAGAGCAACTGTGACAACTCCCACTTTGTGTGTGATTCTTTATCTTTTAACTCCATGCATCTTGCCAAGACCCTCGCATTTACTTCTCTTACAACCCCATCTATAAAATACATTAAACAACCACGGTGACATCACACATTCTTGTCTAAGGCCTACTTTTACTGGGAAAAAATTTCCCTCTTTCCTACATACTCTAACTTGAGCCTCACTATCCTCGTAAAAACTCTTCACTGCTTTCAGTAACCTACCTCGTACACCATACACTTGCAACATCTGCCACATTGCCCCCCTATCCACCCTGTCATACGCCTTTTCCAAATCCATAAATGCCACAAAGACCTCTTTAGCCTTATCTAAATACTGTTCACTTATATGTTTCACTGTAAACACCTGGTCTACACACCCCCTACCTTTCCTAAAGCCTCCTTGTTCATCTGCTATCCTATTCTCCGTCTTACTCTTAATTCTTTCAATTATAACTCTACCATACACTTTACCAGGTATACTCAACAGACTTATCCCCCTATAATTTTTGCACTCTCTTTTATCCCCTTTGCCTTTATACAAAGGAACTATGCATGCTCTCTGCCAATCCCTAGGTACCTTACCCTCTTCCATACATTTATTAAATAATTGCACCAACCACTCCAAAACTATATCCCCACCTGCTTTTAACATTTCTATCTTTATCCCATCAATCCCGGCTGCCTTACCCCTTTCATTTTACCTACTGCCTCACGAACTTCCCCCACACTCACAACTGGCTCTTCCTCACTCCTACAAGATGTTATTCCTCCTTGCCCTGTACACGAAATCACAGCTTCCCTATCTTCATCAACATTTAACAATTCCTCAAAATATTCCTCCATCTTCCCAATACCTCTAACTCTCCATTTAATAACTCTCCTCTCCTATTTTTAACTGACAAATCCATTTGTTCTCTAGGCTTTCTTAACTTGTTAATCTCACTCCAAAACTTTTTTATTTTCAACAAAATTTTTTGATAAATCTCACCCACTCTCTAATTTGCTCTCTTTTTACATTGCTTCACCACTCTCTTAACCTCTCTTTTTCTCCATATTACTCTTCCCCTTTGCATCACTTCTACTTTGTAAAAGCTTCTCATATGCTAACTTTTTCTCCCTTACTACTCTCTTTACATCATCATTCCACCAATCGCTCTCTTCCTCCTGCACCCACTTTCCTGTAACCACAAACTTCTGCTGAACACTCTAACACTACATTTTTAAAAACCTACCCCATACCTCTTTGACCCCATTGCCTATGCTCTCATTAGCCCATCTATCCTCCAATAGCTGTTTATATCTTTACCCTAACTGCCTCCTCTTTTAGTTTATAAACCTTCACCTCTCTCTTCCCTGATGCTTCTCTATTCTCCTTGTATCCCATCTACCTTTTACTCTCAGTGTAGCTACAACTAGAAAGTGATCTGATATATCTGTGGCCCCTCTATAAACATGTACATCCTGAAGTCTACTCAACAGTCTTTTATCTACCAATACATAATCCAACAAACTACTGTCATTTCGCCCTACATCATATCTTGTATACTTATTTATCCTCTTTTTCTTAAAATATGTATTACCTATACTAAACCCCTTTCTATACAAAGTTCAATCAAAGGGCTCCCATTTATCATTTACACCTGGCACCCCAAACTTACCCACCACACCCTCTCTAAAAGTTCCTCCTACTTTAGCATTCAGGTCCCTACCACAATTACTCTCTCACTTGGTTCAAAGGCTCCTATACATTCACTTAACATCTCCCAAAATCTCTCTCTCTCTCTCTGCATTCCTCTCTTCTCCAGGTGCATACACGCTTATTATGACCCACTTCTCGCATCCAACCTTTACTTTAATCCACATAATTCTTGAATTTACACATTCATATTCTCTTTTCTCCTTCCATAACTGATCATTTAACATTACTGCTACCCCTTCCTTTGCTCTAACTCTCTCAGATACTCCAGATTTAATCCCATTTATTTCCCCCCACTGAAACTCTCCTACCCCCTTCAGCTTTGTTTCACTTAGGGCCAAGACATCCAACTTCTTTTCATTCATAACATCAGCAATCATCTGTTTCTTGTCATCTGCACTACATCCACGCACATTCAAGCAACCCAGTTTTATAAAGTTTTTCTTCTTCTCTTTTTTAGTAAATGTCTACAGGAGAAGGGGTTGCTAGCCCACTACTCCTGGCATTTTAGTCGCCTCATACGACACGCATGGCTTACGGAGGAAAGATTCTTTTCCACTTCCCCATGGACAATAGAAGAAATAAAGAAGAACAAGAGCTATTTAGAAAAAGGAGAAAAACCTAGATGTATGTATATATATATATGCATGTGCGTGTCTGTGAAGTGTGACCAAAGTGTAAGTAATTACGCATTGTAACCTCTACAAAGAAATATACTTTATTTTTATTATTATTATTATTAGTATTATTATTATTATTATTATTATTATTATTATTATATTATATTATTATTATTATTAATAATATTATTATTATTATTATTATATTTTTATTATTATTATTATTATTATTATTATTAATATTACTGTAGCCATAACTGAAGTGTTACTTTGTGTACAGAAAAAGAGGTTAACATGAGTTTGTGTGACTGACTGAATGACTTAGTGACTTGACTGACTTATTGAATGACTTGATTGACTTGACTGACCGAATGAATGACTTGACCGACTTACTGAATGACTTGACTGACTTACTGAATGACTTGACTGACTTATTGGGTGACTTGACTGACTTACTGAGTGACTTGACTGACTGAATGACTTGACTGACTTATTGAGTGACTTGACTTATGGAGTGACTTGACTGACTGAATGAATGACTTGATTGACTTACTGAGTGACTTGACTGACTGAATGACTTGACTGACTTACTGAATGACTTGACTGACTTACTGAATGACTTGTCTGACTTACTGAATGACTTGACTGACTTACTGAATGACTTGACTGACTTATTGGGTGACTTAACTGACTTACTGAATGACTTGACTGACTTACTGAATGACTTGACTGACTTATTGAGTGCCTGATTGACTTACTGAGTGACTTGACTGTAATAATATTATATTGTTATTATTGCTGAGAAGAAAAAGAGAACGATTTCCATGGAATTAAAGCATGAAATCATAGATTAACAAGCGAGGTGTCCAGGTTTTGGGTTGAGGCGGGAGAGGGAGGGGGGGGAGCTGGCTCGTAACTCAGATGTTGCTCGTAACTCAAATGTTGGCTCGTAACTCAGATGTTGCTCGTAACTCAAATGTTGGCTCGTAACTCAGAGCAAAATATCGACCCAGGGAAGGCTCGTTCCTCAAAAAACTCGTAAGTTTGGACACTCATAAGTCAAGGTTCCATTGTATATAGCTGACATTGTTGGGGAACCACTGGAGGAAGCAATAGAAGAAAGTGAATAAATTTAACACATTGAGAGCAAAAACCTACTAACTCTTTGAGAGTTAATTTTCTATTAGCTAATTGCTTATGCAACAGTCACATACATGTATATTATTAAAGACAGAAGGATTCACTCATTGCATTTATTTATATGGTGTTTTGTAAAATATTCATTATCATTCCTCTTGAAAGACTGATCCGGAAACCTGAAAACAAAAAGGAACAAAAGGAAAACTGTTAAAGTGGGTCACAGATTTTCTGTTTGATAAGACAATGCAATGTCAGTAACTCGACAGATAGAATAGAAAAAAATTGATGACATGTTAAGGTAACATTTTGTTTTTCTTTCTATGTAGCACATTGTAGGTGAAAAGTATATCATCAGTAACTTTAGAGAGTAAACACCGTCATCAGTCTTGATTTAAAAATTACGTAATACATAACTGAAGCACAGTTTTAAACATGATAGGATGCTATATGAGAAAATCAGAGACTGCTTCAAAACCAAAACATGAGTTACTAATCTTAATGAATTAAACCACAAGGTCTGTAGAATAACTAGTCAGGTGGGAGGCTTCCCTCAGTTTTGAGGAGTAATCCAAGCCTTCTGGCAGTCTGTGTACCCTGAGTTGGATCACAGAGATCATGTCCAGTAAACTTCGTATAGTAGAACGTTTAAAACAAGGTTTATCTGATTCTTTGTGCTCTTTACCCTTCACTCCCTTTCCTTCTAGTTAATGTGATATTATACAGAAGGGCATTTAGGAGAATTTTGATTGATAGTTCCAAGAGATTACTATATATATAATGAAAGTTTTAAGTGTTTAAAAGACTAAACTGTAAGTAATCCAAATATAATTATCTTGCAGATTGACCCTGACATCAAGGAAGCCCATAAGCTCAAGAACTGGTATGAAAATGGTGGCAATGCTGTAACCACTATTAATCTTTCCAAGAAAAGAGATGGTGCTTTTAGAGGTACTGTAACTAAATATTTGCCATTATCTTACCATATTGTACTCTTTTTTTTGTGTGTGTATATACACTACAATGCATAGTTGTAAGTTGTAGATTCCTGCATATTTTTCAGTTTATCCACCATATGTAGATATAAATGTAAATATTATGTGAAGAACTTCTTCATGTTGGGGTTTGTGGGGTCACAGACAACATATGTTGTATCAAGCCCTGCCTTCTAGTGCCCAGAAAAGGCCCCTTGACTAAAGTGGAAGGAAGCGGTGTCTAATAACTGCATGTATTAAGTGTTCTCCAGGCACGCAATGAAAGGCCAGCAAGAATATGCAGGTACTGACAGGATCTCCTACGATAGCTGGAAGGTCACAAACCCCTTCACAGTGAGGAGGAGGTACAACCCTGAATGTGTGCAAGGCCACATGGAGAGGAGAGTCCATGACAGAGTGGTAATGAGGGCACCACCAGTAGGAAGTGCTCCACCATCTCAGGCTGGGAGGGACACCTACAAGCAGTAATGGAGAATCCTGTTCATTCTGAAGGGTGCAGGTGAGCTTTCAGTCATGAATGCCCCAACCCGGAGTGAATCAATGGAGCAACATCCACTAGAGTGGATGACAAGCCCAAAGTGCATCGGGCCGTTGAAAGATTGGACTGAGCTCAGTGCTGAAGAAGAGAGGAAATGCGTGCCAATCCCCCCACCAGATATGTGGTAGCTTTCCCTCTCTCAAACAGCCTTGTGAAATCACTGACAGTCCAGTGCAAAGGGGGGGCTAGAAATGGTAGGGAGTGGATGTGTGTGCGAAGGAGGCCACTTGATCAGCCACTTCATTGCCCTGAATGCCAACATGAAACTGATACTCACTGAAGGAAGTATCTCCAACCCAAACTTCGCAAGAAGGTGCAAGAAGTAAAAGCTGCGTCTGTCAGAATGAGGAACAGAGGGACACTGAGTGGATATGCAGAACACAACAGTGCCAGCAAAAATTGGGAATCAGAGAAGAGGAAGCAGGAGCAAGGATGCGAAATCAAAGTGTGGGAATGGCGAAGAACCCCCACCTACAGGACCGAGTGAGTGGGTCTAATGCCAGGTTAGGGCACAGAAAAGGTCAGCGAAGAAACAGAGAAGAGTACGTAGGAGGAGGGACGTTTGTCTGAGCCGTCCATGTAGTTGAAGAATGAAGAACCATATGTAACAGCATGAAGCTCTTCAAAGAGAAATGCAGCAATCTGAGAGATTCCCTGTTCCTGCAATTCCAATCCAGGTGAAGATTTACTTTCCAGGGTCGCATCAAGGAAGATCTAGGAGAGTGGAGAGGGAAGTGAGTCATCACCAGTGCAGAGAGTGAGAGGTAGGCCTGGGAATGTTGGGCCCTTGACCATAAAGGAAGGCTAAACCAAACATTAGGGAATGGGCTGCCTTTGACTTGTGGGAAGAGGCAGCAAGGGATGAGTACATGGCAGAGAGATCCATATGAAGTGAGTTGCAAGCAAGGCTCCTCACCATTCTCACGCTGAGAGGGTTCACTATTCCCAGATTTTACTTCCAAGGCTGCTATGGGGGTGGAGAGGAAAATGTCCCACATACGTGTTACTTAGGCAAATCAAATTGTAATTACACATTGTAACCTTTACAAAGAAATAAAATTTTGGTTATTATATTAATGTCCAGGCATCCGAAGAGAGAAAGGGAGAGGCTGAGCCATATACCTCACTCACATAGTGGTAAGTTATCTCTGACATATAGCTGCGATATAAAAATCTAAACAGGAGGTCTTGATCGCCCCCACTTGTGCCAGAAATTGGGGCCAGGCAGGTGAAGTCACTGGCATAATGTGCGCGGATACAAAGAGAGGTGAAGGGCCATTAATATGAGCTCCCTCCATGTCAAGAGTATGGGGCATCCAAGGTAAACCACCCATGCACAGATGAGAAGACCCGGCTGGGATTAGTGCCTGACCCAATGAAACAGATGGAGAAAGAGAAAGAAGAGGTGTAGCCTAGTAAACATAAAAGCCGAGGCATTGTGACACTGACCTTCCAAACCCCAAGTGGCAGCCCATGATGGTCAGCATTGTAGGTATATGAAGTTTTTTTCCTGGCTGCCAGCAGGGAAATGGTGCTGCTTTTCATAAGGCCACGTCATCTGCCATTGACGGGGTTGTGCATCATGCTCTGAATAGAAGGGAGACCCAACCTTTAAATACCAAAAAAGTAATTGAGACTGAGAACCGATTTCTGGAGACCGCTTGCCGGTATATGGGGAATGGTGGGTGAAGGACATTGTACCTCCACCTGCAACAAGGGAAGGCGTTCCTCCAAATCCGTGCAAAAAGTGTTACCCAATGGATGGAACCCCTGCCAGACCCATACCTGAGGTCACTTAAATAATTGTCTGTGGATGCTATACACACAAGTCAAAAAGACTGCCAAAAGAATTCTCCAATGTTTTCAAATGAAGATGGTTAAAAGCAAAGAGTTGAGGGTGGAGCAGCTATCACGGAATCCACTCTTGTTTTCCAGGCAATAGGTCATTTCCTGCAATCCACCATGCAGCAGAAATGGGCGGCACCACCAGTTTGTTTCCAACAACCTTACGCAAGCAGGTCACCAAGAGCAATGGGTAGCATCTTTGCTTGGTTTCAGAAATGAGAGGGACCAGTAGCGAGTTTTCCACCATACCTAGGGGTAAAACACTTTCAGACCAAGACTAGCATTTAGAAAACCGCCAGCATGGTCATCATACAGAGGGGGGCTAATTGAGCAAGAATGAAATAAGGAATGTTATCCCTCCCCAGGAGAAGAGAGTGTAGAAAAGCTGGAAGAGTGCCCACTGTCAGTTCAATGGGAACTGAAAGAAGATGCCAGCACCTGGTAGGTCAACCTCAGGCACTATGGGAGGCAAGGGGACTGGCCAATTTGATCACCTTAGGAGAGGGTGGAGGAGGAGGAGGCGAAGACAGCATAGGTACTAAGACCCAAAGAAATTAGCAAACATTCTTCCACTTTAATCCCTAGGGCAAAAGTGGCATTGTTACTATCTCCACAGGTAAGAAAGAGTTTACTGTCCTTGATCCCAACAATAAAGAAAAATAAAAACAAACCCCCATAACCGACTAGCAGAGGTGAGATAAGGACAAGAAGAACAGAAAGAAATTCCATGATGACATGTATTTGTATGGAGACCATTCTCATGACATAAAGCTATGCTCCGTTCAGTAAGAGGCCAACTGCCAGACCCCCATGAAGAGTCAGTCGGCCACCACCTAGTCCCTAAGCTTGTCAACAACACCTCATGTTAAATGGAAAAAAAACCTAAGAAAATACTGTCACAGGTCCACTATAAAATATGGGATGTAACGGGAAACAAGCTGGAATGAAAATGAGCCAGCCTCTAATCATGTTTTCCTTGAAAGGGATTTGACTTTCAAGGTCCAGCACAATGTCCAAGGCAGGCTATAATCAGAAGAGTATGTGACTATAGTTTTTCTTCCAACTGAGGGCTGATGTTTTTCCATCTCGGATTGAATCACAGTTACCAGCACTGCTGGGGCTCCACTGGGTAGACACAGTGCTGGAAATGATCACAGCTTATAAAACAGGGCTTGCACATCAACAAGGCTATACAAAAGAACCAACACCCAAAAGAGACAAGGTGCAGGGGTGAAGCTGCTCGCCCTGTGAAGGATCTACCCTAGTCATCCAACGCTGGTGGTGTGAGTATAGGAAAGGTGGGTTGTTAGGAGGGGATTCAACTGATCCCAAAGAAAGGAATGACCCTAGAAATGGTGCCTAGCAGTGAATTCCCCTAAGAACAAAAGTGCGGCCACTGAGTTGCCCCAAACTCAAACGTGTGCAAACTCTTGGTATCCTTTATTGGGAAACATTTTCGCCACACAGGGCTTCATCAGTCCATACAAATGAGAAATTAAGAACAGGAGAGAATGAGTAATCAATCCCTCCAACCTTGAGTTCGACCGTGTCAGTCCATCAATTAAATAAATAGAATAACAGCATATGTGTGGAGAAGTAGCTTAATACTGTAGGGCAGAGCGTGCAGCAGTTGTAATGGTGTTATCATACTGTGCCAATGTGGAAGTAGGTCGTAAGCCCAAGGGCTACAAGCGAAGAATTCCCCAAGTACGTATTAAAGATTCTTAAAGAAGTTGCAAATGTCCTGACAAGGATTGTAAATGAATGTTTCAGCAAAAACTTAAGGAAGAAGAAACACAGCAACAGGCCTACTGACCCATGCAGAGCACAGGGTCCATGTCCCCCCCTCACCCCCGGATTAGCCCAATGACCTACACCAGTCTGTCACCTCCGCTCAAGGATGGAGCATCTGCAACAGACCCAGCAGCACAAGCTAGCCAGGTCCAACTCACACCCACCCACACCCACTCATGTATTTATCTAACTCTATTTTTAAAGCTACACACAATGTTTTAGCCGAATAACTGTACTCGGAGAGTTTGGTTCCCACTCATCCACAACTCTATTACAAACCAGTGCTTTCCCTATATCCTTGCCTGAATCTGAATTTCTTCCAACTTGAAAACCATTGCTGCGAGTCTGTCTTGGACAATCACCTGTACAGTATATCAAGCCACGTCTACGGCCCTAGCTGTACTTTCTACAAGATTTGAGATGGACTGAACACATCGAACTCAAGCCTGAGGGACTGATTACCTCGAACTCCTCCTCTCCTTACACCACTCTGATTTGTATTGACTGATGAGGGCCACTGTGTGGCGAAACGTTTCCTCAATAAAGTACCCAAGAGTTGCACATGTTTGCAAGAAGGTATAAAATAACCGACAATATGAATATTAACACACAAGTGCAACATCTGGATATCTTTATTGTAGACGTTTTGCCATCCAGAGGCTTTATCAATACAGATTGCTAGGACATAATTAAAACAGTAGAACTATGTACAAAAGATGAGGTAAATCAGTCCACTCAGCCTTGAGTTGTGGTTTACAGGCATCGTGGTGGTTGGAGAA